CCTAAGTTCTCCACAATCAGCTAAGTACCTACACTAAGTCCAGGAAGAACTCTCAATTTGGAGTCCAGATGGGCCATGAGAGCTCAGCCATCATTTTGCCATCCCTTCTATTTTAATTCTCTAAGATTTCCCAAATATCATAAAGCAGTGACAGCGAGATTATTAAAGCAAGGGGTGCTATAACTACATTTTTATCTCCAGGACCCATAAATTCTAAGTTCTGATTCTTTTAAAGCAAAAGGTACAAGGCAGACATAATTAAAAGAAATTAATTAGTAGTTCTTGGTTACAAATTCATATGCTTTCACATGTGAGCTTTTGGTCATTATAAACCTCAGGATGAATGACGCTTATGAGAAGTCTAAATTCCAGGAAATATTCCAATTTCTAATAAATTTGGTATATAGATCCAGTAGAAAATTATGTAGCCCTTAAAAATAGTATTCTATGAAGTGCTTGGGTGGCTCAGTTGGTTAAGCATCGGATTCTTGATTTCAGCTCAGGTCATGATCTCAGGATCATGAGATTGAGCCCTGTGTTGGGGAATCCACACTCAGCGGGGAGTCTGCTTGGGATTTTCTCTCTCCCTCTCCCTCTGCCACTCCCCTCCCCTTGAAATAAATAAATTAATCTTTTAAGAAATAGCATTCTCAAAGACTATTTAAAGAAATGGGAAAATAGTCATAATATAGTTTTAAGAAAAAATATACTAAACTTTATATATCATAATGATCCCAATTATTTAAAATACATTACATAGGTATATATTAAATAATTTCTTTAGAAAAACTAAATTAGGTCCACACTGTAGAGTACAGCAGCCTACACTTCTCATTTGTAGCACTCACTACCATGGTTATTAATACCTATTCTTTTTTTTAAAATGTATTTAAGAGAGAGAGAGAGAGAGGAGCAGAGGGAGAAGGGGAGAATCTCAAGCAGACTCCATGCTGATTGCATAGCCTGACACACGGCTTGATCTCAAGACCCTTAAATCATGACCTGATCTGAAACCAAGAGTCTGATGCTTAACCAACGGAGCCACCCAGGCGCCCCTATTATTACCCATTCTATCAACAACCGTTAAGCTGCTTATCTTGTATACCTCAATATGTCCAGTGCCCAGCACTGTGATTGATCCATATTATGTACTCAATAAATATTTCTTTTTTTTAAGATTTTATTTCTTTATTTGACAGAGAGAGAGCATAAGCAGGGGGAGAGGCAGAGGCAGAGGGAGAAGCAGACTCCCCACTGAGCAGGGAGCCCGACATGGGACTTGATCCCAGGACCCTGGAATCATGACCCGAGCCGAAGGCAGCCGCTTAACCGACTGAGCCACCCAGGCACCCCTCAATAAATATTTCTTAAACAAATTAAGGAACAAAATAACAAATAAACAGAGAAAGACTGGAAAGAAACAAACAAAAAATGATTTAAAGTTGTTTTCTTAGGAGTTATTTGATAGAAGCAGTTTTTTCTTCTTTAAAAAAATCGTTTGTTAGAAAATTAGAAAACAATATCTTCTATAACCACAGGAAGTTATTGGTAACTCTTAACTGACTCTTAAACTAGAGAACAACCTGATGGTTACCAGAGGGTTGGTGGGTGGAGGGATGGGTGAAAGAGGTGAAGGGGATTAAGATTATCCTTCTCATGATGAGCATCCAGTAATGTACAGAATTGTTGAGTCACTATATTGTACACCTGAAACTAATATAACACTGTATGTTAACTATACTGGAATTAAAATTTTTAAAAAGTAACTAAGACATAAGTGCTTGATGTTATTATTTCCAGTAAACAAAATATAATAAATTTTTTTTTAAATAGCACCATGATAACTAAAAGAGATCATTTCCCACTTTGTATTATGCTTTCATACATTGTGACCAATCTGAAAGGGGGAAAAAGGGAGAGAGAGAGAGCGCACACGTTATTTTAAGCATATGCTGTTTTTCAAATATCCATTGTTTACTGAAAAAGAAATCCTAACTCCATCCTATTTAATACAACACTGTTTTATGTTCAAGTTTGTTTGACAGAGAGAAGGGCCAAGGGTTTTTAAATTACAACTCAGCAATATATCCCCAAGCTGAGTTGTCCTGACATAGGGTCACAGAAGTTGAGACACAATAATACCCAACCCATTAACAGAAAGCTATCATAAATTCCAAATGTGATATATGTACAGCAATAAACTCTGCTCAGCCTTACACAAGGACACAAAAGAGGAAAAGAAAAACAGAGAGTAGGGGTAGCACCCAAATTTCAGACAACATGGTAGGCACACTCTGAAATGTTGCACTTTAGTTGGGGGAGGCAACCACATAATCATTCTTTTAACAACTATTCACAAATGGACTAGCTTAAAAAGCCAGCAAAACAAAACAAAACAAAAAGTCTAAGCCAGAGAAAAGGTGTAATCTCTGGAACTATATAAACATTGGGATGGAATGCAGAACTCACTGATGTAGGCATCAAGGATCCCCTGTCATTTCTAATTCTGTAAAACTGGGGGAAATCACAATGTCTCCATGTTTCATTTCTTCTTCTGAAATGTGGACATCTGCCTGACTTGCCTCTTGAGACTATGTTACAATGATCAAAGAGCTAATATTTGTGAAAATGTTTTAAAAACCATAGAATACTATAAAGCCTAAAATATCACACTTTGAAGTTAAAAATAGGTTAAGAATAGATGAGAACTCCCTGTCTTTCACATCCAGTCTCTTTTTTCTTTCCTGGTCTAGTATCTTCTGGAGGAAATGTGATTCTGTAGTGTCTCTCTGCTTTTCCTTGCAAGAACCTCCACAGCCAGCAGTGTTTACTATTTAGAATAAGAGAAACCTAAATAAAACTAGCTTTAGTTCAGCCATGCTTCCTGAAATGATCATAGTTAGGTTCTAAGTTGAGTTTAGCTGCTAAATTCCAGCCAGTCCTCCTCCTCCTGCGTTAGGAGAGAAGAGTCAGCCAGATTCCTTCTACCGTCCCGCCGTCGCTCAGACTTACTTGGCAGTAGTGGTGGAGTGACTCTGGCAAGTGTCTATGGATGATATTCTCCCCAGTCTGTCCTCTCCCCACTCACTAGTCCTGTGTTTCTGAGTTAGAACCTGTCCCCATATAAGCTGGAACTAAGCCACATATGCAGGGTTCTATTTCCAGAGCTTGAAGATGGCTTTCTTATTCTGAACAAACAACTTTTGAAACAGAAGATAAAAAGAGGGATCAACATTTTTGATGCAGTGACTTAAATTGTGTTTCCTTCACTTGTCAATGCCCCAGAGTCTGTTTGACTCCTGCTCTCTTCTTCAGTGTGTGAGTCATCAACATTGAGGAAAAGCAGAGAGAGCAGCTTTGGAAAGTAGAAAGAGGGAGAGGCAATCGGTCCCCCGTCGTTTGCTTCTCCTTTAAGCCCAGCACAGACCCATTAGCAGATGGTTATGATAACCCAATGTGAGTATAGGTGGAAACCAGTACAGATTGAGCACCCACTGTGTACCAGAACCTAAACTGCATGTTTTGATACATTGATTTCACACAGCCAATCCCATTTACAGAGGATAAAAATAAATAAAGAATTACTTTGGCAACAATCAAACAGATCCCAAATGATTACTAAAAACTCACAGAGAGAAAATATTTCTTTTCCCATTGTTTGCCTATTTAGCAATAGTGGGTACATGATGGCAGTACTTACATGAGGCAGCAGGACACATGGATAAGACTGAAGACAGACAGACCTAGGTTCAAATTCCTACTCAATTGTTTTTGGTCATGTAACCTTGAACAAGAAACATTTACCATTTACTATTCCCAGTAAGCTAAATAAGCAATTCTTTATCAAAAACTCACAGCTTAAGACAAATAAGCTAGAGGCGCCTGGGTGGCTCAGTCGTTAAGTGTCTGCCTTCGGCTCAGGTCATGATCCCAGGGTCCTGGGATCAAGCCCCACATCGGCTCCCTGCTCAGCAGAGAGCCTGCTTCTCCCTCTCCCACTCCCCCTACTTGTGTTCCCCCTCTCGCTGTGTCTCCCTCTGTCAAATAAATAAAATCTTAAAAAAAAAAAAGACAAATAAGCTAGATAAGGAGGATGCTGCTATTACTACTCTGTACATTTATTATTTCTTTTTTTTTAAAGATTTTATTTATTTGAGAGAGAGCGAGCAAGGGAAAGAGCAAGAGCGTGGCGGGGTGGGGGGTGGAGGGCAGAAGGAGAGGGAGAAGCAGACTCCCACTGAGCAGGGAGCCTGATGCAGGACTTTTAGAAATTTATCCTCTTGAAATAATAAGAAATGCACCCAAAGATTTATGCAAGAGTAAATAGATTAGAAAATTAAAAACAGCAAATAGTCAATTGCAAGTACAGTGATGGTAGGGTGACTATATAATTTGTCTTCCAAACTAGATGACTCCAGGAGTAAGAGGGGGTGCTTTAATAATTTTGCAAAGACAACAGTCATAAATAAGAACTGCCCTGGACAAACCAGGATATATGGCCCCCTGGTTGTAAGGGAATAGGGAAATAAAGTATGCCACATCCTAATTATGAGATGGCAGACAGCCAGCAAAAATACTTTAAAGAATATTTAACAGCATAGTGAACTGATAATGATATAATACTAACTATAAAAGGCTGGATATAAAACTTATGTATCAAATTTTGTAATATATATACTTATAGGCTTTGAAAGAAGAATGGAAAGAAATACCAAATTGTTAACACTGGTTTACTAGCTGTTGAGATTACAGCTGGGTTTGTTTTTCTCTATATGCAAAATTGCTATAATCATTTTTTTAAATTATGATGGTGTCCTGCTTCTTTAGAAAGAAATACAAGTACCAGTGGATGAGGGAAAGTTATTCTTCACAGAAGAATGCCAGCTAATAAATATAGAAGAAATTATATATAAATTAGAAAAATCACAACTTTTACAATCCCTAATGATATAATTGTTTCAGGCAAGGAGTATTGTTGGACACTTAAAATCTTTAGGTGAGTGCTCGCTTCTGCAGCACATATACTAAAATTGGAACGATACACAGATTAGCATGACCTCTGCAGAAGGAGGACATGAAAATTTGTGAAGCGTTTCATATTTTTTAAATAATAAAATAAAATAAAATCTTTAGGTGGAAGATTATTGATTATTCACGAAATTTCAGGGTATTATCCCACAGAGTCCTTGCTAATTGTAAACAGAAAAAAAATATGCCTTCACAATGAAGAGATCTGGAGATTATCATGTTAACCGAATTATCAAACAACGTAATTTTAGTGGAAACTCTGGCATTACATGCCTTTTGTAGTAACACAATATGAGATAAGCACAATATTCTAGCTAAAAATGTTTAGCTTGAATCTAATCAAGCTACTAGATTTACTTTGATTTTGCTGGAAATCCAGAGACTATAAGAACTAGGAAAACAACACCAAATGGGAGAAATCAGATAAATGCAGAATGTGGGAACTTCCAAAAGACAACTGTCCTGCAATGTCTTCAAAAAGTAAAAGTTATAAAGAAAGAGAGACTTTAGATTAAAAGACACTGGAGACACATAAAAGTCAAATATAATCTCTGAACCTTACTTGAATCCTGGCTTTTAAAAAAGAGATCTAAAAAGCATTTGTCGGGGTACCTGTGTGGCTCAGTCAGTTAAGCGTCTGCTTTCAGCTCAGATCATGATCCCAGGGTCCTGGGATCAAGCCCCACATGGAGCTCCCCGCTGAGCGGGGAGCCTGCTTCTCCCTCTCCCTCTGCCCTTCCCCTCCTCCCCCCTACCCCATTCATGCTCTCTCTCGTTCTCTCTCAAATAAATAAATAAAATCTTTTTAAAAAAAATAAAAAATAAAAATAATTTGTGGACAATTAGAAAAATTTGAAAATAACTTGGTTATTATTTCATTATATATATTTAATTCTCTTAAATGTGTTGATAATATTGTGATTATATAAAACATTTATGGTGACTATCACAATGTCTGCAGCTAATTTTCAAGGCATTCAGAAGAAAATACACGTACTCACAAATAGTTATATGAAGCAAATATGGCAAAATAGGAACAATTGTTGAATCAAGGGAATGAATATACAAGTATTCATAATGTATTATTCTTTCAACCTTTCTGGATATTCGGAAAACAAATTTAAATATAAAATTAAGGGAAAATTTAAAAGTTACATTTGAAGTCATATAATTCCATTTAAAGTAATATAATCAGGGGCGCCTGGGTGGCTCAGTTGGTTAAGCATCTGCCTTCAGCTCAGGTCATGATCCCAGGGTCCTGGGATCGAGCCCTACATCAGGCTCCTTCCAAGCAGGAGCCTGCTTCTCCCTCTCACTCTGCCTGCTGCCCTGCCAACTTGTGTTCTCTCTCTATCTTTGTCAAATAAATAAATAAAATCTTTTTTAAAAAAAAAGGAATATAATTAACAATCCCAGGGTTGACCATTGTCTTTCCAGACCAGATACATAATGGGTTGCATGGCACTGGAGAACCCATTAAAGCCTCCTGAGGGCTCAGACCAGCTCTTCGTGTTCCACTGCCATTGCATCCCTCAGTTCCTGTGATTTATTTCCATTGCCTCCCTGTTCACCCCTCAGGTGCTGCCCCCTTCTCCACCTACTCCATCTTTTGTGGTCCTTGTTTCCCCAAGCGTAATGGGAACAGAGCATAAATTCATCAGGCACACCGATTCTTTGAATCCTGCCTTTAACATACAATTTTAAAAGAACAATTTCTCTCTCTTTGGAAAATTTCTATCTCTGAGAATGCTGTGGACTGAATGCTTCGGTCCTCTCCAAATTCATGTGTTGAAACCCTAATCCCCAAAGCGATGGCATTTGGAGATGAAGCCTTTGAGAGGTAATTAGGTCATGAGAGTGAAGCCCTCATGATGGGATTAGTCTGTGTGTCCATCTGTCTGTCTGCCTGCCTGCCTGTCTTTCTGCCCCCCCCCCCCCCACACACACACAAAACTCTAAGGCAGCTGTCTACAAGACTTCTTGTAGAAGCCAAGAGACAGGCGAACAGACTTCTGGCAAATCTTGAACTTTCTAGCCTCTGGAACCATGAGGAATAAATTTTGTTGTTTAAGCTACCCAGTCCATGATAGTTTTGTTACAGCAGCCCAAAGGGATTAAGACAAAGGATTTCCAGATTGAGAAATTCCCATTCTTCCAACTCTCCACTTCACACACATAATGAGCACATTTTCCCTCCCCTCATCCCCCCAAGAAGTTTAATAGGTTGGAAGTTCTTTTGCTAGGGTTTCTGTACATCCTCTTGATGTTTTCCTTTGTTTTACCTGGTAAGGGACAAGTGTGTCATACTCTGACACATAGAAAGCCAAGGAAGCATTAAACATGGCCTATTTGGGTGACTTGGGAACAAAATACACAAAAGCAACATATGTTTTTATAAAGGATTTCTAACGGCCTTGGGCACCACTAATCCTAAAAGAAAGCATATCTGGTCCTCTATGAGAATTCAAATTTCTTAATTTCTTTGCCACTTAGTGGTTGGTAACATTTCCAAAGAATAATTTTACTTCTTTCATTTTAAATTGATTTCTCTGTTTAGCAAGACTGAGCTTTTTGAGAGCTTTGAGACAAAGAATTCATTTTATCTTACTTTATTTATTCAATGTCTACAAGACCTTCTCAGTCAATGATTCACCTTTGCTATCCATTAGACACCTTTCTAGGCTCTTCCCTGACCTGTAGTGTCCTATATAATATTGTTGTAATATTGTAGCACTTTTAGTTAGTCTTATATGAAATGTTTTTGTCATTTGCCACTTTTGGTCTTTCTGTCATTTTTAAACTCTGAACTTCACTCTGTAATTTCTCAGCTTCTGTTTTGTACTTGACATTTATTATGTGCCCTTAATTACTTTTTGCACTTTGGGGTTGATCCATGTTGGTCTTTTCTAATTCTACTATATTGATTGCTGTACAGCAAGGCTCTTCCCCTCCAAGAACATTGTTTGTCTTTAAACTATATTCTTTCTTTCCAGTGCTGAAAACCACTGAATTTTTTTCTACTTGTCCTTTTCAAGAAATCTCAGGCTATCCCTAGTTGTGGCAACTGAAATCTATTCACTAGAATCATAATTACTTTTCTCTCATCATTAACTCTGTACTCAAGTTTGAAAAAGAAACCACAAAGAGAAAAAGGAAGAAAGAAAAGAAAGAAAGAAAGAAAGAAAGAAAGAAAGAAAGAAAGAAAGAAAGAAAGAAAGAAAGAAAGAAAGAAAGAAAGAAATGACAATGACAAAAGGTGGAAAATACATGTGAAGAGCAGAAAAGACATTTACAGGAGAATATTCAGGAAGCAACAGACATAATAATTAACAAAGATACAAGAAAGAAGAAAGAAGAATGGTTTCCTAAAGAATTATAAAATGGGAACTACAAAGTTAAAAATAAACATTTTAATCTTATAAAAGTAACAATAAATAACTTTAATGTCTAGTGTGCAAGATTACAAAAGCACCATTAAGAATGCCATCATTTGTGAAATACAGGCTACCATCTTCTAGTATATAAACTTCTGCAACAGTCTCCCCATTGGTCTCATTCTCTCCAGTATTCTCTCCCTCTGGTCTGTTTTCTCGAATGCCACCAGAGTCATTGTCTTAAAATGCATATCAAATCACTTCTCTGTTGGAAAACCTTTCAATGGCTCTCTATTCCATCTATAATAAAGCCCAAATGTTTCTATATGTCAGGACTCTGTTTACTTTTCTAACGTCATTTCTACCATTTCTCCTTCTTCCCAAGATTTGTATACTCTAGATGAAGCATTCCTTATGATCCTCCTCTGAGCTTCTGTATATGCTTTTTTCCCCTGCCCAGAATGCTTCTTCCTGCCCAGCTCCTTTTGGTCCATCCAGTGCTTAGTCATCCTTCATGTAGATGCGTCTGTCTATCTGGCTCCTTAACTAAAAGCTAAGTACCCCCTTCTGTGTACTATCATGGTTCCCTGTTATTTCTCCTATCATGGCATATTACTGTGTTATATCATCTTGTTTACTTGTCTGCATCACATGCTAGTCAGCAAACAATGTGATGGCAATGGTAACATTTATCTTTTTCTTGCCCTGGCATTCTAGCACTTAGCACAGAACATGACCTCTAATGATACTTGATAAATACTTTATTGGATCGATGTTGTACAAATATTTGGGTGATAGGATTGTCTAGTAACCCAAGGCTTAATGTGAACCCCTACTTCCAATGCTTGTTGAACATCTTTCTAGACTAAGTATTGGCAACCTTCAGCATGTATATTAAATAAGGATCATTAGTAAATTACCTTTAGCATGTGGGACAATTGCTGCCTCTATTATCTCTTTCCTACCAACTATAAGGGCTTGTAGTTGGTACAAGCCACCCATGTTGTCCAAAATTCAGCAGCTGGTGTTCTCATAGCACCCATCTAGCCCCCTCCACCTGTTCAGAGGTAGTCACTCAGCTGCTATAATATCCCTTGTCCCATTCCACAGAAGAGGCAGAATTGCCTAGTAAATGGCATCTCCCACCATTGTTATCCTGTCAGTAGGACAGATCAAGCATTTTAGCATCCCTTCCAAAGGCTGCCATTATGTAATGCCTCAGTCTACTTTTCTGTCTTAGTAAATCTAGTAAAATAAGAAAAACTAAATTTCTTTGGGATGAGTTAGTAGCTTATAGAATCTCGGATCACCATTCTTGTCATAGTGCTGTGGAAACTGTAGATTTTAGACATGGAGAAAAAGTGGGTTGAAACTACACCAACATCTTCTAGAAGTTTCTGAAACCAAAGACTACTTTAATTCAATATATTCTGCTTGATTTTTCAAAAATGTTCTTCCTTTCTCTTTAAAAATTTCTTCTGAAAGTGTAGGAAATTGTCAACTAAGGGTACATTATATAAAGAGAAACTGAGTTGAATCAGGTTTAAAATGCTTACATATCCAGAGGCACCTGGTGGCTCAGTCAGTTAAGCATCCCACTCTTGATTTCAGCTCAGGTCCTGATCTCAGGGTTGTGAGATCGAGCCATGCATCAGCTCCACGTTGGGCATGGAGCCTGCTTAAGATTCTCTCTCTCTCCCTC